TAGTCTTGGAGAGCAGTGCACGGCAGACATCAGTTGCCCTGTCCCAACTGATCAGTGAAAACCATAGATCCTTTCCTTTGAACGGTGTTTCCTCCAGCATGAAGGCTGGGTCTGCATGTCCTTCCAGTCAGCATATCCATCTTAACCCTCAGTCTCCTGCAAGACAGCTCAAACAAGAATAGACACCTCTCCCCATGAAGACACCCCAACTTTTGAAAGTTATGAGAAGAACTCCACTCTTGCCCGTTTATGACCCATTCTCCAGTCAGGAGCCAGAGTCTTCTCCCTAAACCATCAGTCAGATCTTGTCACTTTTCTGCATAAAAGCTTTACATGGATTTGGTTTGTACTTAAAACACTAAGCATGGTGTGGCAGGTCATTTCCTCGGGAAGCAAACCCTGAGATGGAGGCTGGTATACAGAAGTGTTTTGGGGAGAACTCTTGGGATCAACTTCCGTGGAGGACTTCGTGATGGGAGGAGCACTGGACGAGAGAAACCGGGCTGCAGTGAACTCATAGAGAAGGCTCAGCTGACCAAGAGCCAGGATGCTGGTGTTGGGGGCCCTTGCTGAAGCAAAAGAGGCTGAGCCTTTGTATTTCAGTGGCTGCCCTTGGGAAAGTAGTGAAACATTGGATGACCAAGCTCTCTTCAGCTAAGGGCAATCCCCAGAGGGAGTTCAGCTCCAATCTGGCATTGCCCACACTCTCAGCAGCCGGGGAATGAGGGCTTCGGTCCCAACAGTGGTGAGCTGGGAGCTGGACCTGGATGGCAGAGCACAGTCCACTGCACGTGGTTGATAAGATCCTCTGAGATCTTGCCCCGCCCATCTCCGTAACATCATCTACTTCACCCCCACCTACTCTCCTCTAGTCACCCTGGCCTCTGGGACTTTGTACTTGCTGTTCTCCTGCCCAGATGATATTCTCTCTGGATCTCTGTGTGGCCGGCTCCTTCACATTCAGGTCTTAGATCAGATATCATAGCCAAAGACACCTCCTTGACCATTCTATTTGAAGTAGCTCTCAGACCTCACCTGCTTGTGGCTGTGATGTCATATTGCTTATTCCTTCTGGAGGACTGATCGTGAGTGGCATTATTTATTTGCTTACTTAATTGCTGCTCAAGTGTCTCTGGAGGGTAGGGACCTTTTTGTTCTTCGTCCCTTTTCTCCAGCAGCTGGAACAGTGATAGGAACACAGTAGGTGCAATGAAAGAGAGAATGAACAGTACATTCTAAATTGGAGTTCTTTTCATACTGTTCTGCCTTTAAAGATATGGTGTTCTCTGGCAGAAGTGCATTCATGTCTTTCCTCCTATCAAATTTTGACATGGTTCAAATGTCAGCATCTCTGTAGAAGTATTTCATATCTATTTATATGACATTCCTCTCATCTTTATCCTGTCACCCTCAGCTCTCTGTGGCCAGCCTGATGTCCAGCACAGAGGAGGTAATAATCATAGCACAAACATCTACTGAATGCCTAATATATGCCCAGCATTGTTCTATGTGAACAAAAGGGACCAAATCCTTGCCTCTGTGAATTTACATTTTAGTTGAGGGAAATAGACATAAACAAAATAAATAAGTCAATTATATTCTATAGCAGGAATGAGAGACCGAGGACACTAGATAGTACTGCAAAAACAAAAAAGAGTCATCACAGAAGCCGACCTCACTGGGACCGGGCAGGTGACCGGACAGGTGTGAATATGTAAATGAAACCATTCGAAGCAGAGAGAACAAGCATAGTGGACCTGAGGTCAGAGTTGGCCTGGCTTCACCAAGGAACAGTGAGGAAGCCAGTGACACTTGAGCAATGTGAGTAAGGGGGAAAGTAGCAGAAGAGATCTGAGAGGTAATGGGGGGCCAGTTCGGTGGGGGAGGAAGGGCTCATAGGTCAACAGCAGTGAGATGAGAGCCATCTGAGGTCCTGACATAAGTTTTGGGAACAAGCTGTATGGAGCAAGAGCAGAAACAGGGGAGCCTGTTGTTAGAGCCACAGCCGGGACCCAGGTGAGAGATGATGGTAGCTCGGATAAGGGGGCATTGGAGGAAGTGGTGAGAAATGGTCAGGTTCTGGATAGACTTTGAAGGCAGTGCTATCAAGATCTGTTCTTGGATTGCATGTAAGATGAGCAAGAGGAGTCAAGGATGATTCTCAAGCTTTTCATGGAATGATGGCGCTGCCATTCACTGAGATGGGTAAGGCGGCAGGAAGAGCAGGCTGATGAAGGGAGAGTAGAAATCAGGGCCATGGTGAGTCTGAGACGCCTAACTACATCCAGGTGGAGATATTAAGTTACCCACAGAGTAGGGAGGAAACCCAGGATCCAAATTAAAAAAGATTTCATTGAGGATGAATAACTGCAGCAAATGATGTGACAGATCATGGGAGGCTTTATAGTAAGCGATAACATCAAGAAGAATTCAGCTGCAATACCAAATGCAGATTTCATCACAATACATTCTTGGACAATACTCTTAAATTCTAGACAATGCATGGACTCTCATTGTGGTACATGATAGCTGCCGTTGGAAATATTTCTGTGTGGGAAAAATAAAAGAAGCCAACTCTTAACAATCTTTCATTTTCTCTTTCTTTTCCTTCTCTTTCTTTTGCCTCTTTCCTCTCCCTTTTTTTCTCCCTCTTCCTCTCCACTTTCAATTCTTTGTGTCTCCTGCCAATTCCATATGCTTGCCGATGGTCACTCCAGATATTTTCACCATTAATCAATTAAACAGATAATATGACCTAACTAAACACAAAATACGTCTATTCTAGACAACTTCTTTCTCCTCCCAAATCAAACTTTCCTCACTTTTTTCAATAAGTTGTAAAGTGAGTTCTAGCTGTACATGAAATTTTTTAATATAAAAAATAAGAGAGTATTGGGTCACACTGTAACTGGCAGGGTTTTTTTTCTTTCTTAGGGTTACAGAAGATACTAGTGTGTTGTACAATTGATGCTGTCTTAAATTTGATGAGTTACAGTATTATAAGCCTAAGTTTGTGTGTGGGTGTATGGATAAAAAATGTAGATATAATGCCATTTGCATTAGTACCACAAATGGGTTAACAATATAATATTAACAATGTCAAGTATATTTGTAAATGCAGTATATTTATTTATTTACTCATTCCTTTGACGAGTGTTTTTCAAGAACGTATTTGTTGAAGGCACATATCAGTTGTGCTGAGTGGTAAGAGTATCTGGCTGCACGAGGCACACTTAGTGTCTGCCCTTAGAAATTTTGGTTTGCTGGGGGAGACAGGCAAAAAGCAAACAAAAAAGGTAATTAAAATAAAGCGCTATGAATGTTAGGAGAAATCAGGGGTACAATAGGAATAGGGAGCTGAGAAACTTAAACCAAGGAATTCCTATTGGAGGAAGTGATATTTTGGACTTAATAGCAGAAATAACTGATGTTAGCCAGTGAATGTGTGATGCGTGTGTGTGCTGGGTGTGGCGGGTGCTGAGATATTAACACCACAGTTACTGGTGAGTTACCAAGCCTCTTTCGGAAGACACATATTGCAGTCCTTCTTTGGAAGGCGCAGCAAGAGAAATCAAAGATAAGCATTGATACTGCCAACACTCCGTTCTGTTATCTGAGGTATCTACAGTTTCCTACAAATAAAAAGGCACCATCTAGTCTGAGAAACCAACATCTCTCCTAGAGACCTTAACCAAAGTAGCAAAAACTGACAGAGACAAAACAGGATAAGTCAAATATTAGAGGCGACCTGATCCTTATTATGCATAATATTTTGATGTGCGGATTTACCTTTACCCTGCAGTTTGATATAACTTTAAAGGCCACGGTCAGTTTCATCTAAAATTATTTGGCCCAGCTTAATCTAAGTGAGAGGAAACAGTTTAGAGTTTTTCGTAATGAACACTACCTTTCAGGCAGTGAGTTGGCCCACCCATGCGGCTTGCTGGCCAAGTCCTCCTTGTTTTAGCCATTAAATCACACAAAAGATCCCTGGGGGCTCCGCTCACATGAGCCCAGATGAGCCCAGAGAAAACAGAGGGAGAAGAGCGAGTCTGTCCTTGGCAGGCGCGAGGCAGGTCAGTTGGCTCGGACAAGTCTGTTGGGTTTTCACATCTCTGGACCACCTCCTGTGCTTTTAGATGTCATCATTTTACCCTCATTTTCAGAGCTGCCTTGCAAAATCCATGGGAAACTTTCAGAAGCTACTGAAGAAGTAAGAAGAAAAAATCACAGTAGATGCGTTCACAGCAGTTGTAAACTACCTTTGTTTCTTTAACAGTTAGTTATTCGGAATTCTCTTCCTCAAACAGAAACAAAATTAGTAAAACTACGTACTAATCTAGGCCTAGGATAAAAGTTCAACATTTATCAGAAGCAAATCATTTATGAGAGCTCTAGATAATGTTATCTCATTATGCACATAATAAAAGATGAGTTTTAACCAAACAATTTAGTGATAATAAAACAAATCATCCAATCTGTCACTGACAAGCAGAACTGTGCTTTAAAAGGCAAAAAAACCTAATTAAAACTACAAAAAAAAGTTTTTAAAGCCCTTGCTAGCAATTACTGGCAGGGTACATGCAAATACTTTGTTTTTGTTTTTGTTTTTAAGTAGACATATATAGGTATGGAAAGAAAATGCAGAGAGAAGGAATTAGGACAGAGTACCACAAATTTCTTTAGGATACAATTCTTAAGGTTTAATTAAGAGAAAAAGAATAAAGAGAAGATAATGGGGAGATGCGAACTCTACAAAATTTGGATTCCCATCAGTTTAAGAAATGTTTCTAGAGGATAAGCTAGGTTGAGTGATGCAAAGATGGGGGGAGAAATATAGCTGTAATATGAAATGGAATGTGAGAAACAGAGATAAAACAGGGACAGATGAGACGGTGCTCCAGTCTCATGGTCCAGGAAACATGTAGCTCAGTGAGAGAATGAAGATGGTTTAATCAGGGAAAACAGAGGAGGGAAAGAGAGTCTGCAGAATGGAAGGATGTTGGGCTCTCCTCCTCCCACAAATACATCTGCATGTGGAATAATTTTCACAGAATACTTACTAAACTCTGGCAGAAGATCTTATCCTAGCAGGGCTACAAGAGGAATCTCCACGGAAAGTATGGTGATGGAACCTATGCCCTGGGAAGGGAAGTCTGAGAAAAGCTCAGAAAAGGGCAAATAAGGTTCTTTTGAGGGAATATTAACCAGTAATCATCACCAAGTGACAGTATCTGACAAGTATCTTTTTTTTTTTTAAGATGCAGGTGCTGGGGATTGAACCCAGGGCCTGTTGCATGTGCTCTACCCGTACAAGTGACAGTATCTTAAGTCATAAAATAATAATAATTTTTAAAAAGCTCTGATCAGCAAGCCTCAGAGATGGACTTCCAATGTGAAACAGTGAGGTTTTCTCATTGTTCCCTTGTGCTGATTTGCACTGAACCAGTCCATTTATATCAGCAGTTGCAAATGGCGACCTGTTGGCCAAATATGGCCACTGGTAAGTATGATTTTCCTCCACAGTGATTTTGTATTTGTTTGTTTATTAGGGGATTTTTGTCAACATTTAAATATTGGCACCGTTCACATTTTTTTTAAGATAATAGATTTCTAGCTTCCCTTGAAAAATTAGAAAACCTGGCAACCCTGGGATCATTTGCTCAATTTACCTCAATCAACACCAGCCCACTTCATTTATTTTTGTTGTCTGCCCACAAACATTTCAGTCTGTAAACTCCTCACCATCACTAGGCATGTTCAGGATACCTACTCAGAGACAGACGGGGGCCCTAGAATGCACAGGATGAGCGACTCTGAGACTTTTTTCTTACTAGCACTATCTTACTAAAGCAATTTAAAAATTCTGTCAAAATTCCTTCTTTGCCTATCTGTCTTCCTACTAGATTTAAAACTCAACCAGAAAAAAAATAAACAATTGAAAAAAAAAACATTGACCAGGGTTTGATCCACCATTTCCTTCCCAGCATTTGATACAACCAGAACATGATGAAAAAATCAATCTTGAAAGCCACAGACAATCCCACAATAACCAAGTACCGGACCAGAGGCCCAAAACACAACCCAGACCAACACCCATGGAAACTGATGAATCACCCGAATGCAGTCCATCTGCTTTGTGGAAACTAACTGATTCTGTACCAGCCCACCTGATATGTAATTCAACAACTGGAAAAGAAAATGTGAGTCTCTCAATACAGCAAGATACTCCTGAACCAAAAAAGAAACTCCAAGATTAAGTGTGAGGGGAGATCAAATAAGCTATGTATAGTAGAGTTGAATTTTACTCACTATAACATAACGCAACTGTTTCACAGAGGAGCAAGTTGGGGCAGGTGGAGAAAAGACAGCTTTCTTTAATTTCTATAGTGATAGCCTATTGCCCTCAAGCCCCCAGTCCTGCTGATTTGATGAAACAAATTTGTTAATAAAAAAATTTTTTAAGAATTTTTAAAAACTTCAGTGCCTTCCAATTTAAAGCAAAATCATGTGCAAATCCATTCCATGTTTAATCACCTGATTGGAGCAGTTTCTTCTCTCTCAAGCAGTCTCCATTCCCCCTCCTCCATCTCAACATGCCATCTGGACATCATGGTGATCAGGAGGGTCTCTGTAACAACGCCTTCCTTGGAATACCTGGGAAAGGTGTTAATTTCATGCAAGGGAACTGGTCTGATCTGGTCCTGGCTACTGTGAATTGCATTGCATCCTACATTGTGGCTAATCTTATAAGTCCTTGGGTTATGAGAGGATTCTGCACTTCAGCTTAATTCTGATGCTAACCACTATAGTTAGTATTATATTCTACAGATCTAAGGACACAGTCCCCAAAAAGACTATCCTCACTTTAGATGCCAGTCAGAAGTCCAGGGATTCCCCAGGCCACCACACATCTGACCAACTGGCTACAAATCCTGAGAGTTCCCAAGATCTCCACCTAGGTTTGATAATTTGCAAGAACGACTTTCAGAAGTCAGGAAAGTGCTATGCTTGCAATTACAGTTTTGTTATAAAAGATACAGGTCAGAACCTGCCAGATGAAGAGACACATAGGTAAGGTCTGGAAGGGTCCCAGTGGGAGAACTTCTGTGCTCTCTCTCCACAGAATCAGAGTGTGTCATCTCCTGGAAAGTCAGTGTGTTCACCAACTGGGAACTCCACCAAGCTTCGGTGTCCAGGGCTTTTATTGGGGTTTTATTATGTAGGCATAATTGACTGAATCATCGGCCAGATGATTGAACTCAATATCCAGCCCCCATTCTCCCTCCCCAGAAGCTGAGAGGTTGAGTTTATATCCTGTGGCTGAGTCTCAACCTTCTAATCACAAGGTTGATCTTTCTGACATGGCCTGCCCCATCAGGAGTCATCCTGTTAGCATAAGCTACCTAGGGGCCCTTGGGTCACCTCATTAGCATCAACTATCAGCATCCATCTGAATAGCAAAGATACTCCTATTACTTGGAAAATTTCAAGAATTTAGAAGTTCTATTCCAGGAACCAGGACAAAACCCAGATAAATTCTCTGTCACACAACAGAGTAGCATGGGGTTCTGAAGTTCAAGTCATAGCCATCACCTCCCACCTTAATGTCGCTGCATTCCATGGCCACCGCCCCACTTAGAACCTCTGTACCAACTGCCACCTGAGTATCTGGAACTTGTGGTTGCTTCCTGGCAAGCACCACTATGTGTGAGACTCACCACGGCTACCTTCAGGCACCTCCCTTGATTTAAAATGAAAACTTGGGTCAATAAGAAAATAATGAAGGCTTCTGGAAATGGGAAATATGTGAGTAACTATAAAATACTTATTATTTTTTTTAGTTTTGTCAAGAGAAATGACAAAGGAAAAATGTATTATGGGGTTTATAATATATGTTGAAGAAAAATGTGTGAAAATAATAGCAAAATGTTTAGAAACTGAAAGCATACTATTGTGAAGTTCTTACATAAAATGATGTAATATTATTTTAAAATATGTCATAAGTTAAAGATCCTTGTGATAAACCATATGCTTTGAAAAACTAAGCAATGATTTTCAAAGCAGCAGAAGATAATTCTATTAGACAATATGCACAGCTTTTCAATCTACACGTATTATACTCATCCTTAAATGAACCTCCCCCCAAAATCCACACCTGCCCCCAAACTGTAACAAACCACTGGGTTAACAGAAAAGTGTTTGAACCATTATAGACACTTTTCCTGATGTAATTCATTTACATATTAAGAAATTCATTTTATAAAAGGAACAGTTGAGTATACCAAGTCCTGAATACTTCTTGTTTGAGGGGCATGGAATATGGGTGGGGGAGGCTTTTATTTTCATACTCTGTATAAAACATGTTCCATATTTTCTTGTATTTTTGTGTTTTAAATGTTTTAAACAAATAGGAAAAGTGCTCAATCAAAATACATTCCTCCTCTTGTTTTCAAGCAAAGATGTAATTTCAAGAGGGACATAATTGGGGTAATGAGAGGAAAAGGGGACATCTAGTCAACCCTCAATCAGTTGCCCTGAGACATGAGACCCAGGTCACTCTTACATCCAAAGGTTAATATGTGGGGAACATCAATCAGATGTTGACACCATCAAGAGACTGACGGATTAATAGTGTCACACTACCGAGTACCCCGTCCTGAGACCCACAGGGCTCCTATGGAATTCTCTTTTCTCTGAACATTCTCAGCCTTTCCAAGTTCTGCTCCACAATATAGCACTCAATCGTGCTCATACAACCTCAGTTTATGTTCCAAGAGTTTGTCTGTTGGCTTGAGTGTTTGGTTTCTCAGCATACATTTTCCCATAGACACTGTATTATAAATTGTGGTTAAATCCTCAAAACTGCCCACAAAAGTCTCTTTAAAGTTAATGTATTTGAAAGATACATTACAAATGTACCATATTAACTATGCTTAACCAGCATTTATAACTATGTTTATATGTGAGAAAGACATTCCATTTTGCAACTAGAGATGCCAGGATTGTGCTGGGAGGGAGGAAAGTTGAGAGTAAGGGAGAGGTCTGTGGACAGCAGGGAAATCTGGGACGACTTTACAATACGAACATCAGAAAAAGCACCTGACGTGGACATGTGATGCTCTTGATCCATCACCTTTTATCTGGAAATGGTAGTTTGATTTTACTTTGGGGAACTAGCCCTCCCCCTCTCAGTGTATGTGTTTGGAATGGGCTTACCTCCCCTGTGACTCCAGGATGGGTGCGTGACCCAGGCAGTCCTGGCCACGGTTATTGGTTCAGAAACGGCCATGCTCTGTGTTTCCAGTTAGATTACAGACAACATGAGGGCATGTAGCATGTCCGAAACACACTTATATCCTCCAGATGACCTAGCACAGTGCTGGGCACTAAAGACACAGCCCTGCCCAGGTAAGGAAGAGAATGAGGCTGTTCTGAGTAACAGCCATGTGCTATGCTTTTTACACAGCTCACTGAAGTGTTACATAACTTCCTTGCATAATACCTGTTGCTGACTAGAGCAGTGTTTTTCCAGAAACCTGTTATGTTCTGGAAATAAAAATCCTACTCACTAAATCAATAAAAAATGTTAAAAAAAATCCTACTCACTTTATTAAAAATTAGATTTATTTATTTATTTATTTATTTTTAATGAAGGTACTGGTTATTGAACCCAGGACCTCATGCATGCTGAACACATTCTGTACCACTGAGCTATACTCTCCCTCTGTAACTTTAAATATTTGACTTTAAGTTTTTTAATATGAGTATGATAAGAAAAATATTTTATTTTCCTTAGCTATCCTATGGTGGTACGTAGCCCATTTATTATAAGCAATAACAGTAATAATGCCTGGCCTATCTGACTCACAGGTCAAAAACCCTCTCTTGATAGTTTTAAAGGTTAAAAGAGATAAATTTTGTTAAGTAAGCTTTCCAAAGCACTATACACATATTATTATTATTACTACTATTATCATTACTGTTATTATCATTGCCATCTCCTCTTCTCTTACTATTCAAAAGAAGAACAGATCAGGACCAACTGAAACCATATAAGCTATTGACTTTTCTATAATTTGAGATAAATGAATAAATTAAATCATATCACATACCTAGACACTCACACCCACACATACCAACTGCAAAAAATATCTTAAGTATGATTATTTTTAATATAAACAAAATATGTGCTAATTGTCCCCCTAGGGAAGTTATGAATTTTCTATAACTTGGCAATAGAGCTCTTTAATAATAGAAATTTGCATTCATATTATTGGTTAATAGCTTTGCCTTAACCCCTGACATTATTCACCTCTATTCTAAATGTTGTTTTTGGTTGGCTTTCTTTTTTTTTAGCTAAAATAATATTTTCTATTCTCTCATATTGTTACCTGAGTATCACTTTTGAAAACCTGGCTGTGATTAGCTCGACCTTGAGTTCATTTGGCAGGAACCTGAGAGGTCAGCTATGAAAAGCTTTATTTTCCTGGTACAAGTCTGCTCCTCATTATCCCCAATATATCCTTACTTAGGAACTGCAGCCACATTCCTTCCAATATCACCCAGTCTGACACAGCATAATGATCTCCCCTGTCTGAGGTCACAGCTAGAGCCAGTGGCAGGAGAGAGAAAATAATTCAGTGACGCTTTGTCCCTAACTAGTGCCCTGGGCATCCTGTCTCATTCCTGGGAGAAAGGGCACAGGACTGCCTACCTCCCCATAGAATGCACACCAACAGATTAAATACTTCAACTAGTGGCCTGAGACTTGCTTTCAATGAGGCTGAGTCCCCAAGAAAACACTTGGACTCTGGCAGAACCAGCAAGATCAAGCCATGGATGCTTCCAAACAAAGCATCTTGCTTTCATTCCCAATGTTAAAAAGTAAATCAGTGAAGGAATAATAAAAAGCTCCAGGTCCAGCGCTCTATGGCAAGAAATTTCTAAATGAGCTAAAGAAATCAGAGTATCATCGATTACACCAGCAAAGCATATTATAATGCAGGACTAGGGCCATGGGGCTAGCACAAAACTCCGGGAGGGAAAGTCAGCATGAAATTCCACTCATAAATTCAACAGCAGCTCTGGCTATAACCAGTCCTCGGCTTCGTCTTCACCTCTGGGAACATCTTAGAAAACTGTCTTCCATTCCTCTGGAGGCAACACACCCAACTCTAATCTCAGATCTGCTCTGAATGAACCAGGAAACCTAAGCAGATCACTCCAAGTCCTGAGGACAGTGCCCGACACACAGCGACACTTGTGGCGAAATTTACATCCACCTCTCTGTTCCTAAGGTTTCTCATCTGGAAAACTGTCTAATTACACAATAAGTAACATTTCCGGGCTTACAATGTATACCATTACATCATGCTTCCTGTTTTAAAAATGATTTTCATATCCATACTCTCATGAAGCCTTCACAGTAACTGTGGGACAAAGATGGAACAAGTATTGTTATTATTGCTGTGTCACAGAGGAGGTAAGTATAACTCAGGCACATTAACTGGCAGTCACACAGATCGGGAGTTATGTAGCTATTTACATCTTCATAGAGCTGTTAGATAACGTACAAGAGAATGCATCTAAAATTGCCTGGCACGTAGTAAGGACCCCATACATAGCCATTATGTGGGGCGGTAAAAGAGGATGGTAATTAAACCACAGATTTTGAGTTTTGTATTCATGCTCCATCACTTATCAATGGTGTGAGACTGGGACAGTTTGTAAGCCTTCTTCTCAGTTTCCTCACCTGTGACACAGGAGTAAGAACAGCTACCTCATACAGTTACTGTGAAAACTGCATGAAAAACCATATGCAAAGCACGTAACATGTAACCCAAATTCTACACTGCACCTCACAACCTCTCTAAGCGACAAATGTGAAAATAAAACAAGATAATTTATATGATGATGGAATGAGATCATGACTGAAAACACTTTGAAAGCAGAGAATGTATGAGAAAAAAGGTGCAGAACTGATTGAAAGTAAAAATCATTACTTCATCATACTAACTTTTCATAATTATCTGTGACGTCATGAAACTTTCAATGAGATAATGTAATGGGGAAACAATTACATTGGACATGAGCAGGAAGGAAAAACAATTGAGGAGACAGAAAACATACTTTGGTTCCTAAAATGCCTTAGTCTTAGATCACCTACAGTGATTTTAACACCTATGTTAGAAAATTTGAGTAAGAGGCAAAGATAATAACAGAGAAGTTGAAAACACAAGGGAATGAAAGCAGGGAACAATTTGAGAGGAGCTGGGAGGAAAATGTTGACAATAAATTGAAGCCTTAAAGGACAAGATTCACAGAGTGGCTAATACTGGTCAGTCAAAAACATGGCATTATGTCCACCACCTCCTCTTACTCTCCTGGTCACTATCGTATATTAAAAGTGAGTTGGGGGAGGGTACAGCTCAGTGGTAGAGCACATGCTTTGCATGCATGAGGTGCTGGGTTCAATCCCCAGTACCTCCCTTAAAAAAAAAAAAAAAACTTGGACATCTTCTACCATGCAGTTCTCTTTCAGGAGAAAGCTCTTCCCTCTCTCTTCCCAGCAAAAGCTCAGATCTGTCTCCTAATCTGTGTACAAGGGGCTTGGAGCCTTCTCTGCCTCCTTAACAAACTTCAAAGTGGCAGTTGATGACTTTCCCTCTCTTTCTCTCTCCAGGTGGACAAGATGGCTTTGAAAGGCTATGGCCATTTTTAAGAACTAAACTCTCCCAGTAGCCTTATCATGCTTATTTCTCCCCAAGGCCTTCTGACCCCTTAAGGAGTGTGTCATATTAATACTGATCTATTTTGGGAAGAGACAGTAGGCTTCCTCTTTTGTACTACTTCTTTCAAGAATGCAAGATAGAGTTAGTGTATTAGCATTTCAATAAAACCAATCCTCTTTATATAATAAATCACAACAATCTTATAAAAGATGGCATTGATATATATCATACCTATGTACATATATGTGTGTGTATTTGCACTGTATTCACAGACTATGTATTTCTGGGGGTTAAAAAAAAAAGCGTACAAGACAAATATAAAAAATAAAACAAAATTATAGTGGTTGGTGCTCCCTGACCCAAATGTGTATAATATGGGTATTTAGGGTACAGCACAGCTCACACATGAAATTAAATTAAATGGCACTTGAGTTTTCAAAGTAAAGACAGAGAGCGCATAAAGGTACCTGCCAGAGGAGGTCTACAGATGCTGCCATGGCCTCGGGGACTGCTAAAGGGGTCCCTGCCATAGCCCCCCAAAGAAGGAAGTGGCTTTAAGAGTTGCTGAAGTACATATTTCCATGCCTATACTCTGTGAATTTGCCCACTTGACCACAATCATCTAGGCTAGGCTAGACCCTTCCCCAAGACCAGCCAATATCTAAAATGCTTCATAGCTTCCATGAACTGAAGATGGAAATGGGCATTCAGCGGAGAAGGGTCACCCAGAGGGGTAAACACAACGAGGCTGAGTCTTGTTAATGACAAACCATAGAATACTCCTGCGTGAATCATTGCACCCGGCAGGACGGTGGGATGGCGATTCTTTGAGCTTCCCACCCATCATAACTCTTGGCCATTCCCAGGGTTCTGGTCTTCTCAGGAAGACTAGTTATTCCATTTGGCCATATGTTTAAGATTCCTTATTTCCATGCATACCCCCTAGCCACTGAGGCCTGTTCCTTGCAAAAAGAAGAGCATAGTTAGCACAATGACTCTAACAGTCTCCTTCTTTTCTTCTCATGGAAAATTTTAATTAGAAAATCTTGCCTATCTCAACACCCGAGTGACTACCCCGCAATCCCACGGTAACTCTGCTTCTCCCATATGTGTTCACCCTGGACTGCCTTCTACCTGTAGTCAGCTGTTTCATCTGTATGTCTTGTCTCCCAAATCATTATGAGCTTTTGGAGGAGAAAGAGCTCTGCATCTGGTATAAAGTTGACCAGCGGGTTTCAGAATGGTTTGGGCTGAAGACTGCAGCCCATCCGCCTTTTCTTTAGTGGGTGATCAGACACCTTCTTCCTCCAGAGATAAAATGACTCAGGCCTGTTACTGTTTCTTACCTTTTCCCACTTACCTCTCTCAACAAGCCTACATTCACAAATCACTTGCACAATATGTTCAGTATGTTTCAGGGATCAGAAAGCTTCTTAATCCACCTGGGGGTATGCTGGCTGAGTCTTATTACCAGATGCTTCTTATCTTTTAAAAAACATTATCCTATTATCTTTCTGCACATCTATATTTATCGTGTAGATCTTAAATCTTAAACATCATCAGTGATACTGTATTTGAAAATTTTAGTTCAAAATTCTCATTGTTTTTTACCCTATGCTCTTTACAACCCCAAGGACTCTGTGGAATCTGTCATACACTTGTTCCTTCATTGGAAACAAAGGCCAGTGAAGGCCAATTTCATCATGGCCCTGCAGGAATTCAGGACTCCCTAGCATTCCACATTCACAAGCTCGCTAAATGTATCTTACCTTAACTTCTAGATGGAAAACAGCAGAACTGGAATTCACCATTCAAATTATTATTTGTTTACAGTGTTTACACCTTCATTCCACAGCCAGTATGTGTCAGATGCTTGCTAGTAATAATATTCCTCCAAGAAAAACACTGGGCATAAATAGAACTTTCAAAACAGATAAAACCAGGTTTATAAAAACAAGTTGCAGAGAAGTACAGAATAGAAATGGGACCACATTCATGTTTTCTTTAGAGACCACTCTAGCCATTTGGTAAAATGTCCTGTTTACAATCAATACTAAGAACAGATTGAGGATTAAGAAAAACTGAGCCCTGATTAAAGGACATGTAAGTATATGTAGATAGATGTTATATCAGGTTCATTTTTGTGTAAGATTGTGTATCACTTATGAATTGGATTTAGAGGTGGGTAATCTGTCACACACCCATTAAATATTTTCTTCTAACTTCTGGTAAGCCAGGTGTCTGATTAGAGTCTTCTCTGAACTTGGAGGAGTGCTGTGGACAAGATAACAAGCTCCTCTAATCATTCTTCCCTTCTGTCATAGCCACTAGCGTCATCCAAGAAAACACTAACCTTTTATGGTACTAAGTTCCTTGGTGATTATCTCCTCTCCTCTCTTACTTCAATCTTTTTACTTTTTTTCCTTCATCTCCATCTTCCCAACAGTAAAATAATTCTACTTACATCTTTTTCCATAAGGATTTGTGTTTCTCTTACATTTTTATTCTCCTAATGTTTAACCTAGCAACTGCAGCTGGCCTTATCAAAAAACATAAGCCACATGCTACACATCAAAATGGTTTAACACAGCGTCAGATCCTGACCTGAGTTTAGCTTTGGCTGCATAAACTTACCCTCAATGCCAAGTGTCACGTTTGACGTAGAAGCAATTGCTGTGCTGTTTAGATGTTCCTGATGGCATCTGAATCCATTACTTCATTGAGATATTTTGCTCAACGTCTTCTTCCTTCTATGGATGAATTAATTGTGCCCAGCACTGGCCATCCTCACTCCAGAGCCCAGCCAGCTATGACAACAGGTCAACAACTTTGGGCCTGAGTCCCCCTCCCTCTTGATTTATGGAGGTTCAGGCAATCAGTACCAGCAAGAAAAGAAAGCTGCGTTGAAGGGAAGGATGACCAGGGCAGGTTTTACTCTTCACTTGAGGTAGCTTGAATCATAGGAAATTGCTGTTTTTATAGGTCAAACATGGTCAAACAACAACAACTTTATGTGGTTCAGCCCAATGCATGAGACAATGCACTCCCGGCTCAGTGGTCACAAACACTACCAGGTACCACGATTATGAAAATGAAAAGTGCCTTAAAAGATCCATGCATTGCTATCACACATTAAATACCACGTGTATGGAAATGCTCTTTAAGAGTGTCAATGCTTGACAGCTTACCTTTTGATGACTTTTATTTTTAAATACTGAACAAGAGTGACAGATCCCCTGCTCCTCTTCGGAGGAAATGAAACCACCACACCCAGGCAAGCAAGACTGATGGAAAAACATGTGAATGAAGAACACTTTTCTTATTTTCTCCATGATCCAAAGAGCTGATTCAAGAGGGTGCTTCATTGCGGTTGATAACTCATCCAAACATGAACCTCAGAGGGGGTACCACCCTCCCACAGAGTATGGGAGGAGGGACTGGTCCAGAGAGACATGACTAATGCAAGGTCATCCAGGGGTCCACAGGCCGAACAAGTCGTGAACCTCAACCCTACCAATGTCTGGCCTTGGCTTCACCAGTAGCTACATTTCCTCTTTAAAAAGCATGGCAAAACCAAAGACTTTCATTGCCCCAGCCAACCCATTTAAGGAAGGAACACAGAGACTCCTTACAGCAGATCTAACTCCCTTGAGAAATTCTGATATTGATGGGCAATATTACAACTTTCATTTTTTTTTCTTCTAAGGTCATCTTCAACTTTATACCCCTCAGAGTTTTAAATAAAGTAGTCTGCTGTAAAATAACATATACACGCTAGCATGCACACATAGTATTTTAGAGCTATCTCAAATGTAAGAATCAAGCAAAATCCAAGGACTAGATATCTGCAGTGAATTAAGGGTATGGTTAAAAAATCATTCCAATAAATCAAACTTTTTTTTAGCATATCCAGGGAAAATACTACTATAAGGTTGTAACATTATGGCATTATACCATTTTGGTCTTATTATTTCTAGACTTTTGTTGCAAAATGTGGTTTTTAAATCAAAATAATATTCAGATTCCTTTTAAAAGAAATTTAGCTTAAATGATGGGTGTGCTATAAGGCATTATATGTGCATATTTGGAAAATATACCTACAAGCTTGCTGCCATAGCTGTGGCTCTATCCTCATAAACTTTTTTTTTTAGTTGAAATATAGTTGATTTACAATTTTTAGTTTCTGGTGTACAGCATAGTGATTGAATTATTTATATATACACATATACACACACACACACATATATATCCTTTTTCATTACAGGTCATTACAAATTATTGAATATAGTTCCCTGTGCTACACAGTAAGACTTTGTTGTTTATCTATTTTGTATATAGTAGTTTGTATCTGCTAATCCCCAACTCCTGATTTATCCCTTCCCACCCCTTTTTCCTTTGGTAACCATAAGTTTGTTTTCTATGTCTCTGAGTTTATTTCTGTTTTATGAATAAGTTCATTTGTGTCATATTTTTAGATTCCATGTATAAGTGATATCATATGATATTTGTCTTTCTCT